GAATCATCCAACCAGAAAAGTCGGTCGCTAGCCGAAATCCTTACCGAAAGCAAATGGGCGTTGATGGCACAATTTCCACTACCGACTTGACGCCAAAGAAGCCTGAGGAGTCCGAGCCTGTCCTGATTACCATGCTGAAGGCGGCTTCATCTCAGTCCAAGGCTCAGGCAGACTTCGTCTCGGCGCACATGTACTGGAAGACTCTGAACCAGCTGACGGCACTGGCATCGAGCTCACTCCGACAGGACGGATTCGCAGCTCTGATCAACATTCTGGCCCGAGGACCGCGCGACGCCATTCGCCGCTCTGCATCTGCTATTGAAGAGTATGATGCGTGGCTCGTCTGGCTGAAGCAAAGCCAAGAGCGCCACGAAGGCTTAATCGACACCATGATGAAGCGCGTCAACGCCATCCGCGACAAGATGTGGTATGTTACCGATGTTCGCAATTCCAAGGAATATGCGCACAGCCGTGACATTTGTCAGGCTCTCAAGACCATGGGTATGCCGCGTCGTTGGAGCTCGTTTCAGCGCTCAAGGGCTCACAACAACCGTGGTCCTAGTTCCTCCTACCTCTACCGCACCGAATCGCAGATTATGGACCTCCTGGCCGCTTCGGAGGAGCAGGGCGGGCCGAACAAGCTTAGCGACGATCAGGCAGAGATGACCTCCCTGTGGCTGCAGCAATACGGGATCGAGAATTTCTGCCAGGGCGAGGAACGGATCCACCGATTCTGCTGTGAGGTGGACCGGTGCATTTCCAAGCTCGTCGGCGAGACCCTTCGAGAGGCACCAGTCCTGTGGTCAAGTGAGTTGTATAAGCGCGATAAGCTGGTTTATGATCGTAGCAAAGCCAGAGATCGGGATCACTCGTGGGCTGGCGATGACTCGACAAGCATTATCAGTGAACAGGATAGACGCCATACCTCGTCATCGTCTGGACGATCCAGTTCATTCGCTCGCGATCTGAGGTCTATGACAAGCAATAACACCAGTCACCACTCTTTGGATTCGTCAAGGCACAGCCACTCGAGGACTGGCGGAATGCTGGCTGATATCCCTGATGGACAAGAATACTTTGATAAAGCATCTCCTGTGGATTCTGCAGGCACATTCTGGTCACCATTCCAGCCAGCTATGTCCACCAGCTCGGCTCCGTCACGATACTCGCCTACTACAAGCCTCACCAATGTGTCGACCACTTTCTCTGCTCCTCAGCACCACACGATCCCATCAATCACAAGCGCCTCTACAGGTCGTCCTAGCACCGCAGCTTCATCCAATGACACAATTCAACAGCATCGCAATGACGACGAAAAGACACGTTTTTTAAATGAACTAAAGCAAACCCTTACTAGCTTGCTGCTGTCTGACTTGGGCAACCAGGTCCTAGCACGTGGATCAGAGACAGATGGCTGGTTCCAGAAGCTTGGACAGCAATGCATTGATAGAAAAGATGCCTTGGAGAGGCGGGCTCGCCGCAAGTCTGACAAGAAGTCTTCGCAAAAGTCAGGAATAGGAAGGTCTAGGGGACTTGAAAAGAAGAGAAGCTTTGGCAATTTGAGAAATGCGGGCGAAGGCACGCCGGACAGAGCATCAGAGCCCTCTGAAGGCAGTCCGATAGCCTCTCCAGAGTCTCCTTTAGCTACAATTGACCCACCACCGGCTCCCAAAGAGACATCGAATGAATTCCCATTCAAGAAGGCCTACAAGCGCCTTCTGAACATGTTCTGCGTTCACCCCAACCCATATGCGAAGCTCAATGCCCTCAATGAGCTCGAACAGCTCATTGTCGCATCTATGTTGTCGAGCGGCACTAAACGATCGCGGTGGAACAGGTCTGACGCAGGCTCCAGCATTGTGGAAGATCATGGATCCATCACCCGTCCCACTCCATTGGAGGGCATGATCGACAATGTCAAGGAACGCCGACAGCAGGCCATTCAATCGGGACTTCCTTCAGTCGGATTTTCTTCGTTCCCCTCTCGGCAATCCAACTCTGAGACACGATCTATTGTCTCTGGTGGTGCTTCCAACTCGGACCTTATTACCAAAGAGCTTTATACCCTCTTCCGAGATGCATCGATTCGGCCAAAGTCTCTCTTCCGTGACCTGCAATTCATTGCTGCCTTTGTGCCACCTTCGGTTCTGGATAAACCAGAAAAAGGAAAGGCTTTTTGGAACGCCGGACTTGCAGCCCTCAAACTCAAGTCGGAGGTTTGCCGGACTATGGTGGAAATGGCGGATGAAGTGATTGCGGCCCATTCGCACACTCGCCAGACGTCAAATGATAACGCCACTCCCCTCGACACACCCCAGTCAACCACCGGTACTCCTCCGCCCCCATCTACTACATATGGACTGAACGATGTTGGCAAAATGTGGACGATTACCGCTAAAGAAGGCTATCCCACGGCGCAACGTGAGCTAGCCTTATTCTACTTATCTAACCCTGAATACGTTGAAAGAACAACACTACCTTTGTCTAAACCAAGAGAAGTGTTTAAACAATCGGTCATGGAGAAGTATGGCCGTACCAGAGGCAGTCTTGGAGGCTCTGGTGCAGGCGGTCTTGGCGGCGTAGGTGTTTCTTCTAGAGGCCCAGGATCTGGAAATGGCGGCTCTGGAGACGGGCAGCTCTCCGGTGGATCTGAAGGCGATGTTAGGAGTGACCCCGGTTTGATGTGCGTCGCTGTCCACTGGATGGAAGCGGCAGAGCAGGGTGGCGACGAGCTTGCCTCGAGCTTCCTGCGGCAAAACGAGTTTATGGGGCTCAGTTAAGCCCTACAGTATTCGTATGCAGCAGCCAATCTCTGATGCATGATATACCCCTGGCTGCTATGATTCATCATGATCATTGCTTTCTTAGCTGTCTCTTTATATTTTTGGCATTTACGCTTATCCTTGCGCCACCCACATGCATCCATCAGCGAGCATACTCTTGCCAGTTCCACCTGTCGTCTCTTATGAATCTGACTTTTGATCTGTATCATGACGCACATGCATGGACCAACAACATGGATATGAATTCACGAAATGATATGACGGCTATTTTTAATGTTCTCACGCCAAGAGAGATGAGAACTATGATCTTGCAATCTGAATCATGATTTTTTTTTTAAAAAAAAAAAAGAAAGAAGAAAAAGCGATATCTTTTTATTTTTATTTTTATTTTTATTTTTTATTTTTCTCCATTCTCGGCCGATATAGAATATGAGGGAACCGCGCGGGCTAGCTGGCTGGCTTCTCTGATTTTATGATACCATTCTGTAGCGGACGAAAATGGTGCTGGAGTCATTTTTTTGTGTTTACTTATATACACATATACATCTATTTAGTTAAATCCTTTCTGCGGCCTGTCATTTTTGAGCCTTTTTTTTTTTCCATATTTCTTTTTTCTTTTAGATAGACGGACAACACACGTTCATTTTCTTTTCGTTTCTGATTCTTTCGTTGTTTGGATATTTGCTGTTATGCACTCGCTGTTACTTTGAGCTTTGGCGGAGGATATACCATAAGTTGAAATAACTTGTTGGATGGGAATTTTATTTTTAGATAGTGAGTTGAGTTGAGGTTTAGATGACAAAATCAAGAAAATGAAGTTGTACAAAGAAAGGCAAAGCATTGAGTCCAACAGAAGAGTAGATGTTGTAAACTAAAATTATAGGTTGCGAGTTGCATATCTTGCTTATTGTAGAGGATAGTAGTTAGTAGTCGCAATTATAGTAACATATCAGTGTACTCTCTCCAAAAGTGGGACTGTAAGAAGTAGGTCTTTCTGGATAAAGTGATCATTTAAGTATCTTTAGTAATTGCTTGGCAGATTTGGTGAATGGGAGAAGGATCTTCGTGAAAACTCAGAGTCTGATCAACATCATGTCCAATGGAGGTATTGACATCGAAGAGGCGCGCGATGCGAGAGAGCAGTATATGCCGAATTACTTGTCGCAGGACGACGACTTACGGCTTACCATGAGATGTCCCAAGAATTTAGGGTTTTGTATGCAGCAATCAGTAATACAATACCATTACCGGAGAGTGTGGAGCATCTGTCATTTGGTCATTTGGTAACGTACGTGTCAGATTACTTGCGTCATGTATATAAACCTTGCGAGCAGCTTGAAAGATGGTGGGTAATACTGAGATTCTGAGTATACACGGATGAATTATACGTAGGTATATGATAGCAACGCTTGGTTAGTGTAAAACATGTGATGCTGTTATGTACGCACTTAGATCTCTAAGGATCCTTGTCCTATTATACATTTTTTCAAACTGCCTACCCTGATAGACACATTGTCGATGACTGTGCTTTTATCTGAATGTTGTCTAGCAGCATACATGTGCCTGGTGGGGAGAAAGAGGAAAGGCTATTAACTCGCATGTTGGCAATTCGGTTATGCTATGTGAATGACAGCTCTCAATGAACTGAAGCAGCAGCCCGTAGCAGAAACAGGTTGCTATTGTGTTAGTTAATGATTCGCCATGGCGCAGGAATCCGTGATATATTGCATTTACTACATGTAGTTGCCCGCGCTTGCTTCGCGGGTGAGGCTTTGCTGCTATATTGATGCTTTTGAACTCTCTAGCTTCAAGCAATAGGCGTCAGTGGTACCTCGGGGCATTCGTCTTCTCTGTTGCGTATTGCCCCAAGAGGTATATGGTACGCGCATCGACGCCCACTAGCCAGCGACAGCACCGCAGAGGCACCTCGCTCTTGATAAGTGCCAGCATGCAAGGCAACGGGCCAATATTACCAAGTGCAGCCATCAAGTGCCTGTCCGGCCGGCAACCGGCTTAGTGCTCTAGTGCTGGGGCCCCCGCTACAGCCCCCGCTAGCAGGGGTACCGCAGCTCTGGCTACCGCTCTAGCTCAGCTCTGGCAGCCTGGCAGCCTAGCAGCCTAGCAGCCTAGCACTTGGCCCCGACTGGGCTATATAAGAAGGTAAACAGCGAGGCTCGGGGTTTCGCACGTCTCTCATGTTTGCTTCGTTACTCTCTCTTGCTTGCATTTTCTTCCTTTCACTGTCTTCGCACTTCTTCAGCCCATCTTTATTCACGCGCCTGTCGCAACAATGCTCGGCGACGCCAACCCGCCGGACGCTCTGCCCCTGCTGCGGGTGCCGCCAGAGATCCTCGACAGGATCACCTGGCATCTCGCAACCACAGAGCTCTGCAACTTTCGCCTGACGTGCAAATCCGCCGAGCGGGCTGTTGATTTCAGATTCACTGCCGAGTTCTTCACGCGCAAGCAGTTCATGGTTTCCGAGTTCAGCCTCAAGGCCCTCAGGGACATCTCCAAGAGCCGCCTCGCCGGCTATCTGCGCCATGTGCACATCAGTCTTGACCAAGTCGATGAGATGGCCGGCTCTCGCATCAACATGACAGCAGAGGAGCGTAGCTTGTATCAGCAACGCTTGACTGAGCAGAGCACTCTGTGGACGCTGGGACTGGTTCCCAAATATCTGGCCGAGGCCTTCTCTCGCTTGCCGAATCTGGAGACGGTTGCGCTCCGCGATTTCAATTCAACTAGGAGATCTCGAGATGGGCCTCACGCACAGTGGCGCAGCTATGGTGCCCAAACACTTCTTAAGGAGACGGGTGCTCTTCCCATAACCAATGAGGTTTTCAGCTGGGGAAATCCGGCCCTTCTTCACAGAGCCAGCACCCTCTTCAAGGCCGTCATCCACAGTCTTGGCCTGGCCAACGCGAGGCCGAAAAACATTGAGGTGATGGAGAGGAACGGCAACCTGCTTTATGACTCTGCTTTCCACTTGCACCCAGATTTGGAAGCCACCGACGCTCCTGTTCTTCAAAGCCTTCAAAAACTGCATCTTTGCGTTGACGTCTACTGGGCTACTTCGCCTCATGTTGCACAGCCATATTACCAGCGGAATCTCGCTGGATTTCTCAAGCATTGCAACGGCCTGGAAGAACTCCGCATCAACGGGAAACGCAGCAGCTATAGCCAAGGCAGTCGTCAGAATCTCCATCTGTTGATGAGCTGGCTTGCATCATCAGAGGCGAAGCCCTTATCAGAGCTCCAATCGGCGGATGTATCGGTTGACAGCCAATTTGCCCCTCCTCCAGTCGAGTTTCCGCAGTTGTCCAATCTCAGCTTGGGAATGATGGCTATTACCCTCGACGAAGTTGTTCACCTTATTACAAAGTTTGCTGGCTCACTTCAGTATCTCGAATTATGGAGGTTCCAATTAATGGCTAACCCGGGCACTGATGCCGACATCGCGGAGAGGAATCAGAATTTATTTATTCACCTGTTGAAGAAGCTGTTGGCTATACCGAATCTCAACCTACGCCATATCAAACTGGGCATTCTCCAACAGATGCTGGATGTCAGCGACACGAATAAGAAGATGCAGGCCGTAGAGTTCACTAAAGATGAACCAGCCAGCACGAATGACGAGAAAGACGCAACCGCCCCGGTTGACACTAGACCTAGACGAAAGCCAACCAACAACTCGATGGAATATACGGGTTCAGACTGGAGACATTTTGTGCGCCACGAAATGATACCTCGGCTGTACATCATTAACCGTGATTTGAACTGTCAGTAATCATCCTTTCAACTACACACAGGGCATTTGTCTGCGGTTATTTAATTAATATTATTGATTTTTCCTTGCTAACTTTATTTTTTACAACCGTGTAGTAGCGGGGCTGAATCAAAGCAGTCATGAAGAAGACAGCGACGATGTTGATGACGAGGACGGGGACGAAGATGAAGAAATGGACGAGTAATTAGGCCGAGTTTTGTTGGGTAAGTTAGCGAATGGCAAGGTGGCATTGTAAGTTTTGGGGCTTTACGACTTATGAAAATACTGCATGTAAATTAGTTTTACCATCAACATTAACCCTAATATTGGGCGTTCGAGAATACTCGCCATGATTATTGCTGCGTGATAAATTCTGGTCATAATCGGCATTTCAAGTCCAATATTATGATATAACGCTCCAAGCAGCGGCATATACGACAATCAACTTACGTAGACGTTTGTTGTTAGAGTCTGACAGAGAGTTTATGCTGGTAGGGACAAGTATCAAGTATTGAATGTCAGCCACATTTGTACTTGTATGTATAGACGATGTGGGATCTGAATTAAGTGAAGCCGCCGAGGTGCAGTATCGGTTACTATGAATAACTAAAGTTGGACACCAACCATAATGGAGACGACTTGGATGTTCAATTCTCGTATATAACAGGTATAATCTTGTGCGATGTTCCACTTTTTGGTAGCAGTTCCAGCCAAGAAGCTTTCCACAATGGCGCTCCAGCGTAGATGTAGCCACTTTGAGGTAAATACAACTGACCCTGCAGCCAAAAATCTACATTTCGTAGAGTATAGGTATATAGCAGTACTTTGTGTACGCAATGCTCGGAGTTTCTTGCAAGCCACTTATAGAGATTTCAGAGGAGCAATACATTTGTGTGTGCAGGTACAGTTATCATGTACTTAACTTTTACCTTATAAACTTACTATGCCCTTTGGTGAGTCACTTGGGAAAAAAAGAATTTTCTCCTCTTCTCGTCATCTCTTCCTTATATAGAGTAGATCGACCTTGTTTCGACACTTGAAACTTAGACATATCCACCTACCAGCAATTCACATTCACCATGAAGGCCTCGGCAATCTCCCTTCCCCTCTTCCTCTTGTTCCTCTTTGCTTCGCTCAGCTCCTCTCTGAGCCTCCGCGACCTGCTACCAAGGCAGGGGCAGGAGATTAAAGATTTGACGTCGACGACGATATGGCCTCCGGAGAAGCCTCCTCCGGTCGACGATGTCACCTTCTCGTGGTGCCAGACGTACAACCAGTCGGATACGTGCTTTTCGAGGGATTTGAAGCATGGCTGGTGTTGTAAGTCTGTCCGAATAGCCTTGATTGCTTGGTCTGAGAAGAATGAGGCGCTAAAATTTGACTCTTCTAGATGATTTTCGGCTTTTAGATCCTGCCATGTTGGATATGCTGGAGGATGTGGGAGCGTCGGGAGGGCAATGCATGTTGTTCAGGTGAGTTTATATACCTATTGCTCCTTACTATCTGCAGTATTTCTGTTGTATCTACCCCACGTCTGTGATATCTGCTGCATTTATTATATCCAACACGTCCACTCTATATACACATTATATTACAACTTGACAACTGCTATGCTATGTACACTTTTCAGCAGCCAGACTAACCCGTAATTGCTCCATAGCGCCCCAGACTGTAAAGGCAAACGCACAGCTATATTCGCCGGCGAGCACCTTTGGACGTCATATCTCTGTCCAAAACCCAGCAAGAAGGTCAAGTGGAACCGCGACGGACGCTCGGTGCGCTGCTGTTCTGGCCCGCCAAACACGCCGTGGTGCAACAACGCAGTCAGAAAGACGCACAAATGCTTTCAGTAGTGGCCGGTGGTGGTGGTTGTGGTTGTGCCTTGGATATATATGTATACATACATACATGTATATTGTTGTTATTATTTTATTATTATTTCTCTTTTGCAATTACCGCCTCGGTACAGTAGCTTCAATTGTGCATCTCATCAGCTAGACAGAGGAAATACATCACCAGTTGAATGCAACAAGGCTCCGTATACGCGTGTCGGCGATTGCCATATTGAGCGCTTTATCGCGGCATTATCGTCCGTCCTCTCTGTGATGCAATTGCAAGTCCCAACACAAAAAAAAACACTTAACTGTACTAGCCAATTAATTAGTTGCGTGTAATTAAAATTGCCCGTATTAGCCACGGCCTAGGTCAACACAAGCTCATTAGTCCCAGCCTCTGTATCAGCCCCCCATAAATCCAGGCAGCAAGACCACTCACAGCCCACCGCTCCCCGAAACACGTGCCGCCGTGGACTTCTCGTGCCGCCGCCCAGCGAGGCCCAGGCGCGCTGGTGCCTGGAACTGTTCCGAAACAGCTCTAGAGACGCTCAGCTTGCCGGATGCCACAGACGCAGCCGCAGCGTTAGCGGCGCCTCTAGCGGGGGAGCGCTCCACTAAAGTAGGCAGCTCTGGGGCTCTTTGCGCTCTGCTGGAGTAACAGCTGCTGGCCAGCTGGCGACACGAGCCAAGCTGCAAACTATTAAAACGGCGTCGTCTGTCGGCATCAAGCCGCGTCCAGCATGAGCTTTTCTTTCGTTTCCTGAGCCATTGGGCAATCAATCGAGTCCTGTTGACGCGTTTTCTGCCTTGCTCTGCGGCATTGAATCGAATTGCGCAGGCATCGTCATCGAGACAAGCACCGTTCCTTGTCTGGCACCGCCTATAATAGAGCACCACCAGCAACATTCTGCCTCCTCTGTCTTTGCAACCTCTCCTCCTCCTTCTCCTCCTCCTCCTTACTCCTTACTCCTTACTCCTCCTCCCATTCACCCCCTCTCCGTAATCATCATTCATTGACATCCTCACAATCGTCATCATGGCCCGTCGAAAGGCTGCCGCCGCCGCACCTGCTGCACCCGCAACGCCGCCGCTGGAAGGCCGTGTCCTCGCCATCAGCGGCAAGTTTGACAACTCCAAGCACACCCACGCTTCTTTGGAGCAGCTCGTCAAGTCCTTGGGCGGCAGCGTCACCAAGAGCGTCACCAAGACCACCACCCACGTGGTCTGCACCGAAGATGACTACAACAACAACACGGCAAAGGTGGCTGCTGGCAAAGCCAAGGACCTGCCCCTGGTCAGCCCGGAGTGGATCTTCGAGTCCGAGAAACAGAACAAGACTATCGACCCACAGGAGCATGTCTGGGGCAGCGATAGCGCTGATCCTAGCGATTCACAGGCCAATGGCAAGAAGCGGCCCCTGATGGTCTCCAAGAGCGATGACGATGAAGAGCCCCAAGCCAAAAAGACCAAGACGGCCAAAGGGGCCAAGGGCTCTAAAGCCGCCAATGGCAAGGCAAAAGCTGACTCCGACCCCGAATCTGAGGCCCAGCCCGAGACAAAAGAGGAGAGCCAGGTGGCTGAAGGCCAGTTCATCAAGAAGAAGAATGTGGCTATTCCCGTAGATGAGCACTGCCCGCTCAGCTCCTCCTACCAGGTGCATATCGATCCAGATAGCGGGTTGATCTATGATGCTTCCCTCAACCAAACGAATGCGTCACACAACAACAACAAGTTTTACCGTATTCAGGCGAGTCTAGATTGTGCCTCACATTCGCAGCAGAGCGTGCTAACGGAATACCCCTCAGGTCCTTGTTGAGCCCAAGTCAAAGTCGTACAAGACATGGACTCGGTGGGGCCGCGTTGGTGAAACTGGTCAAAGTGCCCTTCTTGGTAACGGCACCGTCGCAGACGCACTCAAAAACTTTGAAAAGAAGTTCAAGGACAAGTCTGGCTTGGCGTGGGACAACAGAGGTGATAACCCAAAGCCCGGAAAGTACGCTTTTGTCGAGCGTAGCTACAACCCAGATTCGGATGACGAAGATGATGCCGACGACGATGCCGATGGCAAGGGCGTCAAGAAAGAGGAGGGAGACGAGATCAAGATTGCCGACTGCACCCTGCAGCCCGAGGTCAAATCGCTCATGGAGCTCATCTTCAACCAGCAGTATTTCCAGGCCACTATGACTGCCCTGAACTACGACGCGAACAAGCTGCCCCTGGGAAAACTCAGCAAAACAACCATCACCCGCGGATTCCAGCAGCTGAAAGACCTCGCAGCCCTGATTGATGATTCAACTATCGCCCGGGACAAGTATGGTATGACTATGGCCGATGCCACGGAAATGTTATCCAACATGTACTATTCCATCATTCCGCACGCGTTTGGTCGCAATCGACCCCCAATCATCCGAGACAATGCTTTGCTCAAGAAGGAGATAGAGTTGCTGGAGAGCTTGTCTGACATGAAGGATGCGGCCGAAATCATGAAGGTTGACCGCAAAGCGACAGACAACGTTCACCCTCTCGACAAACAGTTCCAGAGCTTGGGTCTCAATGAAATGACCCCGCTGGATCCCACCAGCACCGAATTCCAGTATCTGTCAGGCTATCTCAACGGTACCAAGGGCGACACCCATAACCACAGCTACAAAGTCCAGGATATCTTCCGCATCGAGCGACAGGGCGAAGACATTCGTTTCAACGAGTACGCAGAGAACAGTAAGATTGGTGCAAACCGCCGTCTCCTATGGCACGGCTCGCGCGCCACAAACTTTGGTGGTATTCTCAGCCAAGGTCTGCGAATCGCGCCACCGGAGGCGCCCGTCTCTGGTTACATGTTTGGCAAGGGTATCTACTTGGCCGACATGGCATCCAAGTCTGCCAACTACTGCTGCTCGTACATCTCTGGCGGCCAGGCCCTCTTGCTTCTTTGCGAAGCCAAGCTGGGTGACCCCATGCAGCAATTGACCAACTCCCGCTACGATGCTGGCAACACTGCCAAGAAGGGCGGCATGGAAAGTACCTGGGGTATGGGTATGACGGCACCGCCCAAGTGGATGGATGCTGGCGTTGTGCATGAAAGCCTCAAGGGTATTCAAATGGTAAGTTTGACGTTTCTTTATTTATTACTTCTTTTGCGCCGCGGACTCATTTGCTGATTCATCAAAAGCCCGACATCACTGAGAAACCGTGCGATACCAACGTCGATGGCGCATACCTCCAGTACAATGAGTTTATCTGCTACGACGTTGCGCAGGTCAAGCTGCGCTACCTCCTCCGCGTCCAGATGTAATGAGAGGGGCAAATTAGGGTGTAGTAATCTCGGACTTGAATCTTGCTTTGTTTTCTCTGTGGGTATGTGATGGATGGATTATGGGCCTGGGCATTATGAGAAAGGAGTATCTTTAGCCGGTTTTATGGGCCATTGCCTTGGGAGTTATGGAAGACAATATTCGTGTAAGATAGCTGGCTAAAGCGTTCAAGTATGACGTTATGACTAGATGATAAATTGATGCATTTAATAATATCTGCTTCTGTTGTTCTCATTCGCAATTTCATTATTCATTTTGATCATTATATTCACATTTAAGTACAGGCTACACCAATCTTGAGTACCAGCCTAGTCGCCCAGCGGATAGGCATGCAGAATCTGTCCGTAGTACAGCTCCGCATCCTTGGAAGCGAGGAATATGAAAGAGGGAGCAATCTCGCTCGGCTGGCCAGGCCGCCCAATCCCAGATTTGGCTCCAAAGCCCTCCATCTGTTCGGCGGGCCGCGAAGCCGGCTGCAGAGGCGTATGAACCGGGCCGGGGGCTACGGCATTCACTCGGATGCCTTTGGGCATGAGCTGCTTGGCCAGCGATTGCGTGAATGAAGTGATGGCGCCCTTGGTGGATGCATAATCTACCATTGACGCAGTGCCTCGGAACCCAACTGTAGAGGTTGTGTTGATAATGCTACGAGTTTGTCATTCATATTAGCAACAGTTGACGAACGTCTAAATGGATGAATGGAGAGAGACAAGAAACTCACGAGCCGCCCTTTTGCATATGCGGCACCGCATATTTAGTCACTGCAAACATTTGCAAAATGTTACTCCTAAAAGTGCTTTCCACATCATCAAGGTCAATCTTGCTAATGTCGTCGCACATCATCTGTTTCGACGCATTATTGACTAGCACATGGAGGGCGCCAAACTTTTGCATGTGCTGCTCAACGGCCTTGCGGCACGTTTCGTTGTCCATGAGGTTGCCTGGGATGAGGAGGCATTCCTTGCCCTCCTTCTCGACCATTTTCTTGGTCTCTCGGGCGTCTTCCTCTTCTTCGGGGAGGTAGACGATTGTGACGTCCGAGCCTTCGCGGGCGAAGAGAACTGCTACTGAGCGGCCGATGCCAGAGCTGAGCGAGCGTTGATTGTTAGATGAGCTGGCCATTCTGGATTGTTTATTTACATGTATGTGAGATTTTATGTTACTTACTCTCCGCCGGTGATGAGTGCTTTGTTGCCTTTGAGCTTTCCGGCTGCGAGATACTCTTGGTGTTGATGTTTGCCTTCGAGAGCGGTTGATTCGCTGGTGGGCTTCATGTCCTTTTCGAGCCTGACGTACTGGTATTAGTAGGGACTTCACTTTTTTTTATGTGAAATTTACCCTGGAAGATCTTGTCTTTGGGCTTCTTCAACCGGTTTGAAGCTGCCTGATTCGGTGCGAGACATTGTATGAAACTTGTTTGAAATCTTTGAGTTGTGATTTACTGTAGGGTAGCTGCGTGCGATATACGTGCAGGTTAACTGAGGTCTAGGGATAATCAATTGCTTCAGAGAGCGGCGAGTAGCAGTCTTGAGCATGATTTCTCACATACGCAATTATATATGAATTTAATACATAGTACATATTACTTCGTTGAGTTTATTATATAATTACCGCCCTCGTTGAAAGCTGACAGGGTTGCGTTTCCGTGATGTCACTCATTTTGGCCAGACATGACGCTGACGACACGGAATTGTCAATGGCTGCTCTCTGCAGCCTCTACCCCACTGAAGACAAAAAAGCAAAGAGATTATATAACAATGAAACGACCATACCGTCATGCATCACCAAACGCGATCCCACCAGAACACATGTGTTTTAAGCTCAGCGGAACAAGCTCCGGTGATCGACAGCCGCTAGTACGAAGTTTAAAGTTCGTTGCTTGACATGATGAAACGATCATTAGTAAATTGGCCATCATGCTCTGTTTATTTACTTGTATGTCTAGTATTGGAAAGTAGATTGGGATGAAAGAAGGAAAGTTATTAGTGGGAATGAGGGGGTCGAAATGACTGCCAAATAAAATAAAATGAAGGAGGAGGCTGAGAAGTTGAAGGGATGATTGCTTGGTTGAATGGGCTCATAATATCATACAGTTCAAAAATAGTGTGGCCGTGATTCACGTAGCATCTCAAGAGCATCATTCTTATAGAGTAGCTCAATCACATACCATTGCAAAGAAAGAAAGAAAGAAAGAAACTCCTCATTTTACAATCATGTTGACATATAAGCTACATTCCTTCGGCGAGTGTATGTCCTCCGTCAACCACTACTCTGTTTCCATTGACAAACTGATTCACAGCAAGGAACAGCACGGCTTGCGCCATGTCTTCATCCTTTCCTGGGCGTCCGGCGGGAGTCTTGCCCTCATATTTACTCTTGTCGATCTGACTCTTCTGTCTTTCGTCGCTGCCTTCGGTGGTCATCTCGCTGGGGAAGACTCCCGGCGCAATGCTGTTGACGCGAATCTTGAGTCCGGCAGCGGCAAAATCCGCAGCCATCATGCGTGATAAGTGCTCTGCCGCCGCCTTGGACGCGTTGTAGCTGAAATGATGCTGGCTTGTCTTGACCAGGCCAGAGATGGACGTGATGTTGATGACGGTGGATGACCAGCCATGCTGAGTCTCGGTCGAGTTCTGCAGCAGCGGCAGGAAAGCAGCCGTGGTGAAATGCATGGCCGCAACGTTGGTTCGGTACGTGTCGATCCAGTCATCAAAAGTCGACGAGTCGCTGTCAAAGAGGCTCCTCTTCAGGTCCTCTGCTGAATGTGCTTCCGCAGTGGTGTGCGTCTCGCCGCTGATGCCGGCGTTGTTGACGAGGATGCAGACACACTTTTCTCGCGACTTGATCTCGTCGACGAGCGCTTTGATGCCTTGCTTGGAGCTGACGTCTGCTTGGATGGGGATGATTTCGCCAGGCGCATTTTCGCCGTGAGCAGATGCAGCGGTGTCGAGCTTTTCTTTGGTGCGACCACAGATGTAGACCTTGGCACCATTGGCGGCCAGAGCCTGCGCGGCCATGAGTCCAATTCCGGAGCCGCCTCCTAATAACAAAATCAATTTGTAAGTTTGACTGCACTTTTTTTTTTTTTTTTTTTTTTTTTTTTTTTTCCGGTTTCATTTTTTTTTTTTTTTTTTTTTTTTTTTTTTATCCCGGTTTATAAACATGGGAGCGAGCGATTTCAGCGTACCGGTGACGAGGGCCACTTTGCCCGAGAGGTCAAAGAGCGATTGTCCCTTGAGATTGGTTGTGTTTGCCATTATGATTGTGAATTCTATTGAATTACTTGACTATGATAAAAAAAAAAAATGTTGGTATTTCATTATTGACATCTTCTATAAAACATCTGTTGTTCACTTTTATAAAATCGCTGTTGTTCAAGGCTCTTGCGCTGCCACGACGTCATCATAGCGATGCGCGCCGTATATATGGGTAAACTCTGTGTATGTGACGACATGAGTTGCGGCGATTACACCTTGGAGCTTCATTGTTTACGACTTTATTACGTTCTGCCGGTGCGATTGCTCCCGACCAATTATGATGGAGAATATCCATGTTTGGATGAGGATACGCTTTTGTCAGTCTTTTGAGAGAGCATTGTCTAAAAGTATGTGTGGCGGCAAGAATGCTTCAACAAAAGATCGACGGCTTCAGGCCGTGTATATCGGCAAAAATCCCCAGCAAACCCACTTAAGCAGCGTAAAACTTTGACAATTAAAGGAACAACTTCTCTTACTCGCATTCTCAATTTCTTTCTTTTGTTATCCAGTTTTATCCTACCCTACTTGAATCATCGCTAAATATGTACATCGTATATACGTCGTATTCATGCACAGCCCAAACTGCTCCGTCAGTCATACAATTTATGATGCAACAAACTTGAAGCCCGCGCCAGAAGCCTCCGTGGCGCCATTGTTGATGAGAGATCCATCGCTCGCCAGCGTAACCCACTTGCCGTTGCTGCCAGCCTTGATGGTGTACACGCCGCTGGCCGCACCAATCTTCTGGCGGATCGTGAAGACCTCCCAGGTAGAGGCCGTAGCACGGGCAGCCTGGAGAGTAAAGTTGCCCGACTGGTCGGCCGTGACGAACTGGTTGTTGCTGGTGAGCTTGAGGTTGCCGGCGTTGGGCGTGTACGAGCTGACAAAGACGCCGGCATTGGCCTGAGAGCCAGAGGCAACCAGGTTGGACGACGCCGTGGAAGAGACAACCCACTGGCCGGAGGTGGCGGCCTGGATCTTGAAGTTGCCGTAGGGGTTCTGCGGGAAGTTGGAGCCGCAGATGGGCTGGCCGCTGGGGTTGGGACGAGTGCCGATGAAGAAGAGCTCGTTGGAGAAGGTGTTTCCAGAGCCTGTGGGTGCAGCTTGTTAGTATATTCATTCCGCTAATCATAGGAATAAAAAAAGAAACACAACGTACCCCAAGTGGTGAGGTTGGCACTCCAAGCGGCAGCGGTTTGGGGATTGGCGTTGGAGTAAGCAGCAATCAAAACGCATCGCCTAAAAAAGTCGAGATATTAGTATCACTGCGTGAGAAGCTACAACAGAAGAAGCGTGAAAAGCCATACCAGTCGTCAGCAATGGTTGGGTCGAGGATCTCGTTTTGAGCATATGACCAGACGTTATTAACCCACTGAGTGTCATACAAGACCTCGTTGATAGGAGTGATGGGCAGCATCTGAATAGCAGCAATCTCACTCTTCTCAGCGCCCCAAAACAGCCAGGCGCCAGACTGCCAGTCCTCAACGTTGCCCATCGTGACCAATGATCGGACTGCGGCCTCGGGGTAGGGGTTGTTGGGATCAGTCGCGCTCTGCTGAGGGTACAGGTGCCAGTAGACCTGGGCACCCTGCTGTTCGGTAGCAACGAGCAGCTTGGCGTAGTTGACGTAGTCTTGGGAGAGGGCCACGGAAGCCCAGAGGAGAGCGCCGTAGTAGCCGTTGATGGCCTCGCCGGTGGATTCCTGATCGCGGCTTCCAGCTCCGTTGGCAATGCCCGAGGCCCAAGAATGGCCTGCAAACCAGTCACGGCAGCGGGTGACGGGGAAGTAGGGGTCGTTGGGAGATGGGTTGATGATATCACTGTTTCTTTGGTTAGAAATGGGGAAGACGTAACTCGAGAGCAACGAGATGAAAGCCTACCGAGCAAACCAGTTGATAAAGTCCTTGTGCTGAGCCAGCCACGAAGAGTCGTATTTTGCAATGACAGCAGCGATCGTGAGGAAGTATCCGTAGTGGAAGTGGTGGTCGTTGTAGTAACCGTTACCAAAATCGATGCCAGAGTTGGATGCGCCAGCCTTGTCGACAACACCGCCCCAAGAGGTTTCGTACGCAGGGAAGGCTCCCGTGGTAGGGGCAAACCAGTTATTGAAGGATGCTTTGAGGTAGTTGGTGACGTTCGGGATGAGAGCGGTTTGTCCAACAGCTTCACTGTATATTGGGCATCAACGTTAGTCTCGACCATTGAGCATTAGTTATGAGGAACAATGGTTAGAAGTGGTCTTACGCAATAAGGGCGAGGCGGGCTTGAGCGGCCAGAGTGCCTCCCCAGTAGTAGAATTCGTTGGGGATAGGCGCGTTTGCCACGTTAAGCTGGCCAATCTCGTACTGGAGACCCTGGATGACAGCAGAGTTGCAAGAAGAGTCGAGGGCTCGCGGAGGGTTCCAGCTAATGCTGCTCAGGTTGTACAGCAGCTTCCACTGGTTGCCGAGAGTGGGGTACATCCATCCCTGTTTTTATTTCCATTGTTAGTTCTTCATTTTCCCTTTTGATAGTGCTTGTTGTTATTCACCTTTGTGGTAAGATAACCCAGAGACGAAGTGGGGGGCGAATTGGGGTTCTGCAGCGACAATCGGTGGTGCGGCCAAGTCAGCATCAGGAGGTTGGCGCCGGCTCCAACAGTGTTGTAGTTGAAGATGAGAGTGCCCTGCGTGGTGGTGAAGCTGTAGTCAAGGCCAACTCCCGTCGGGTAAACGGTGTAGTACTGGTCGAGAAGAGCCTTGTGGCTGCTCTGGACAAGTCGGACCACACGAAGGACGCCGGTGAAAGTGCCGCTGGCCTGGATTGTGCCAACCGCGCTGTTGGTGGCGGTGGCCTTGAGAGTTATGGAGGAGAGCGCGTAGATGAGGTAGGTCGTTCCGGTGGTGTCGACGACGGTGAACTCGGTGCCAGTGGCAGATACTGAGTTGCTTTTGTGTTAGTCAACAAACAAACTCCCCAGACGGGATATGATGCTCACTCACCACTCTGTCCGTTAGCAATGGATTGTCCGTTAAAGGACGCAATACCGCCGTTTCGCGAGGTAAGCAGAGGGGTCGCAGCATTGTATTGAAGCGTGATGTAAGGTGATCCAGGAATCAGAGGAGACGTCATGGAGGCGCTTCCCTGGAAGTACTGGACCGTCACAGAGTGCGTGTCAAAGGCCGTGGCCTTGTGGTTCGCAAAGGCGCCAGAGTGCTCGACGAAGCCGGCGCGCCAGTCGTTCTGTGTTGGCTGCTTGATGGACGTGCCATCGAATTGTCGGTTGTTGCTGACGCCAAAGTTGATGCCGTAACCGTCGAGCTGCGACTCATACGGGAAGGGTCCCGAAGCGGTGGCGTTGCCGGGTGTTGCAGCATATGAAGCCCACCATGAATTGGTAGGGAACTTCAAGTAGGAACAACAGTCAGTCAGCCATCGAACAATTGCAAGTTCTAGGGGATGAGGGCATTGATTTCAATTTCTTACCGGAGGCTTCAATCCAGCAAAGAATGAAGCTACAGGAGCTCCATCGGATGCGGTCTGAACGGTACCACCAGAGATACCTGAAGGGTTGCTAGTCGCAATGGGAGAAAATAGGCCGCGATCCGCGAGAAAGTTGACCTTCTCGCTGCTCGGCAGAGCCGCGACGCCAATCGCAGAGGCGACTACGAGGTTAAGAAGAGAGCCTAGCATCTTTGGAGGGAAAGGCTAGGGAAGACCGCTTTGCTTGGCCACACCTGGAGATTTTCGTCAAGGGGGAACGAGGGCGAACAAGGCCTCTTATATTGGCTTGTTGGCCAGAGACTCATTGCATCACCCGACGATGTCATTTCTATTTTGGCAACGGGGCCCTGTCTTCCCTCCCTCGTAGCGGAATCTCGCTCCGATCTAGGTCCAACCCCGGCGGTAATTGGATGCTGCGCATGCTGCACTCTCTTTCTCTTTCTCGGCGGTATTCGACATCGTGATATGCAACCGGATCTGGTCATCCGAAAACAAGAACCTTTGGGAGGGATTGTAATGTTCGTGGTAGCAGTAATTCGACTCAGCCTTACCCTCCTCCTCCCTGGCATGTTCCGTAATAGTGGTAGATAGCAACTCTGCGCCAAACAAAACATGCTCAGGGCCAAGCATGGATTAGCAGAGGCGGCTATGCGTCTCCATTGGCATTATCCACTCCGCCGACGATTCCGATCAATCTCAAAGTTTCTGCCTTTCGTGACCGGGGTCCTAAAGCATAGGTATTTAGATCGGACCGAACGTGAAAGACGTCAAACTTGTTGCAACAGTCGCAACCTCTTGCCCAAGAGGCAGTGTAAAGGCGGTGGAGATACTATTTCCATCAATTGTTGTTCGCTGAAATGCTCGTCCTGGTGGGAGGTAAACTGGCATGATGTTCATCTTGTCTCTAGCCATCAGCAGCATGTTTTCTTCATGTTATCATGCTCCCTTCTGCTGCCGATTACGAGTCTCCTAATCCTTCTTCACTTCATCTAGCCCCCGAGGCGACTTGTCGCAGCGAGTGGATAAAACATGGGGTTAACGGCGGGCCTCTTCTCCCATGTTGTCTTACTGCATAGCCATGAGTAGTGCAAATACTTTCAAAACTTCTCTCTTGGTAGTGCGGGCACCATAGGGCCATCTAGTGCCCTGCATTAATAGTGATCAAAAAGTATACTTATTACTATAAGCACTTAGCTCTCCCCTTCAAAGCTTGGTTAAACAAGCTGTTGTGCTCAATCCCGCGGCCAAGGAGCCAAGAAGTTATCCAATTGCCTAATTTGGTAACCTCCCGGCTCGGGATGGTGGGTCTGGCGCTTGGGAAGAGACATGGGGGCGGTGGCTTGGCATCTCCCTCTGCTCTCCTAGGGCTCATCTGCGCTGTAACCGTCTGACGGAAGGTCTATTTCGATATCTATATGCTGAAACGTTGAATCATACGAGGAAATAGGGAGACTATTTGTTCACTACTATTTGTTTATAGAAGGTGCCCTGCTCTCTGCACATTTTGAGGATGAAAT